GGGGAAGAGCTGCAAAGGCTATATGCATGAGAAGCTTGGCAGTGAGGAGTGGGGGGGGAAGGAGTGGAGAAGAGAAGGCAAGACAAAGACAGGATAGTTCCCCATAGCTGTTGCAGTCCTTCCCTTCCCTGTCAATTCTGTAAGATTTCTTTTCACCCAGCTTGCTCCCTTCCTTCTCCATCCCCATGATGGGAGAGCTACTCCTCTCCCTGAGAAAAGGGGCCACAGTTCAGTGAAGGCTGTGGAAACTACAGGCAGCCTCCTGAGCAGCCAGGAACAGCTTCCAGTAAGACCAGGAAAGGGAAAAGTCCATGCAGGTGCAAAATGGGTAAGGAACAGCCTTCTCTCCATGAGGATTTGGACTGAGGAGAGAAAGAGCCATTGTCCTGATGTAGGCTCCAGAGAGGGCGAGAAAGCCTGTTCTCTGGCCCGTGGGTTGGGGAAGGGGCAGGAAGGGCTCAGTCTACCTGAGCGTGACCACAGGGAGGAAGAATGAGCAAAAAGCTGTCCTTCCTTGGGTCTCTCCCTCCCTTCCTCCCTCAGGCAGTTTCACAGGCCACCAGGAGGGGAAGAACACACATCTGGAGGTCACCCAGTATCAGTGTAAAGGAGGAAATAAAGATTGCACTGACGTGCCAGCTTGGACTCATTTAGGCTTCAGTCTGACACAGCGCCCCTCCTCCTCTCCCTCTTGCTTTCTCCTGCAGAGTAAAGATTTACTGTGTGCAGGAGTCCTTCAAACCTCCCTCGTCATCTTTTCCAATCACTCACTCTAGCTCTCATGAGCAAGCACTCGTTCACAGGGAGCCAGCACAGGCAGGTACATTGGCAGCAGAACGGAGGTTCTGGGCACTGGGTGCAGCTCAAACCAAATCAACACTGCCTTGAAACACAGTGGAAAAAGAAGGCACCAAGACATAGCCACAGAACAGGTCAACAGATCCAAAGCACGAAAACAGACCCCTAGGATTTGGGGAATGTGACAGCCAATGATGCCATACGCACAGGCATGCACATACACGAGAGCGTTTGCGCACACATAAGACCCAGCCGATGAGCAAAGTCAAAGTTCAATAGCCATCAGCTTCCACAAATCAGTTTCCACAGGAGTATACGGAGTAAGAGACTGCCTGCAACGGGCACTAAAATGTGCAAGACTATGAGGGTCATATTCCTGTTTCAGTATTGCCCTGTATAGCTGTGTTCATGTAGAAGTGCTGCTGCACTAGTTGCCTATGTGGTACGTGAGAAAGACAATGCAAAGAACATGCCTGAAGCCTGCAAGCAGAAGGACAAAGACACATCTGCTAAGTGCAGGGATCTGGTTTAGCCCAAAATGACTTTCCAGTTCTGGGCACTTAGGCCCAGCATCCTGCATGGGATTTTGGGATGCCCGACTTCAGAATAAACACCCTGTTAGTTACAGAATGGGTGGCAATGCCCCTGCAGTGTCTGGCTCAGGTTGCAGCTTTTTGTCCTTGCACAACCTTATGGGTCAGTATTAATCTTAAAGGATGTTAAATGCAGAATCATGCCCCACAGTGTCCAATAACAAGACTGGTCAGAAGGAAACCACAAGGAAAGGCTGTATTACTCCATCCTCAGAGGTAGGATCATTTCACCTGTGCTTCCCCACTTGGCCCTCTCCTGTGGCTCCTCCAACACCCTACCAAAGCCATCAACTTTATCTTTCACACACAGACATATTAAATAATTTCATCTTGCTTTAAAGCAGTTCTCCTTTTTACCTCTTTTTCTCTCTTCTCCACCTCCATTTCAGTGTAACCCTATGACCCAACAGAAGTGATTAAACCCATGAAATCCCTACTGGGTCTAACACTTCCCTCTTTCTGTTAAATCTGCTTTCCCTGTTCTGCTTTCCCTCTCCTTTTGGACCTGTAAAACAATCCCCTAGCCTCCTTCACAACGCCCTGACTTCCAAGCACTGCACAGAAAAACTCTAGCCAGCCTGTGCCAAACTGCAAGGGAAGAAAGAATACCAGAGAGAGGATCTGATAGGAAATTAAGCTATTAAGTGTGATTTTTACTAGCTTTAACAGCTGCCCCGAAAGCCAGCCAACCCCCTTCCTTCTTTATCCTAACCTGCAGCACATGAAGAAAGAGGGGAGACCCTCTTTTTCAATCCCACATCTCAAATCAGTTTTACAAATCCCAGCTGGGTTCAGGCCCCACAGACATTACAAATCCAGAGAGGAGATTCAAGGAAACCTAGTATTTTCTTTAACAGAAAATGAAATGTTGTAGGACACCACCTCCTTTTTAAACTTCTCTCATCTGCACACCTGGTCTTGGAAAGCATCTTTGGTACCCATGTGGCTAGACCTCAGCTGGTGCAAACAATTAGATGCAAAACTCAACACCATAGGAAAGGGGGAGTTTTCAGACATTTTTTGAGCTTTGCAAAGTCTGAGCTTGAGTTCAGGTTTCACTACCCTGGATTTAATCCCCTCATCCCCCAAAACACCTTGCATTCTGCTTTTGCTTTGCTCAGATTTGGTTCCAGATGATCACAATACCCTCTCTGGTCAACAGCTTTGCCAGTGCTGCTCAGTCTTTCCTCATCCACATTTGAGATGAAACTGGCCAGTTCCCACTACTCACTGCCTAGCAAGCGCACCTTCACTCATTCCAGCATGAGCCCACCAACACATCCCCTAAAGCCAAGACAACCTTCACTCATTTGCACAGGCACCTAACCAAAAGGCTAGAAGCTCTTCAAGTGGAGGCACCTTATGGAAGGGAGGTCTCACCACAAAGATGGTATGAGACCCAGCCAACTCATTTCACATACACTTTCAAACAACAGCGAAGAGGTAATCATCATTACCTAATCGACAGAAAAGCCTCACCATACCTACACACAGACAAAAGTGAAGCAGGACAGTGATTGGGAAACAAATCCCTGTGAAAAGTGCACAGCCCTGGAAGGCACAGGAAGCACTGTCCTTGGGTCTTCTTCCCCCTCCCCTATGCCGCATTTTTGTCTTCTTTTCTATGCGATAATAAAAGGGCTCCCTCTCCCCTTGCTGCTGCTCTCCATTTGTGGGCATTGCCAAAGAGCAGAGATCTGTGCGTCTCAGAGCAGCTATCGTATCACAAAGGATCCGAAGCTAGCAAAAAAGGGGCTAAAAATAGCCTGCAGCAGCACACTATATATGGAAGGAAAAGCAAAACAGCCCAAATGGAGTGCAAGGTCTGGATACTGGGGGATGGGACATCCCAGCCAGGGCTCTGTCCTTTATTCTGCTTGGGAGGGAAAACATGTAGACTTGGGGGCTATAGGATAATGAGCAAGAAACTGGCACTCATCATGCATGCTCTCCCAAGTGGAGTCTCCCCAGGAAATTACGAAGAGAAAACCCCCCTTGTTGAAAACAGGTCCAATATTCCCTTTCTAAGAGACTTAGCCAACAGGCTAAGAAAAGAAAGGAGAACTTTGAAAGCTTGTACAGGGGAAAGCTCCTGGCGACTACTTTAGTCCACTATGTAAGTAACAGGCAGAGTAAAGAACATGGGACTGTACAGGAAAATCTCCCTGAGTATGTGTGCGTCAGTGAGAGATTGTGGAAAGGGATCTCTGTCAGAGACTGTACTGGGAAATCTAAATGCTATATATAAATGTGTGTAGAGAAGTATGGGTCAGTCAGTGTGCAGGAGAGGGTGCGTGAATGAATGAAGAAACGTATCTGCATGTCCAGATCAGCTTCTGACACCCATCTCTCAACAGACGCCAGCTTTGCGACTCCTGAACATGTTTCCTAGCTGTACCAGAGAGGGAGGCACATAAGGCAAGACTGAGCACTGACTCATTAGTCCCTTGTTTCCAAGCGGTGGCTCAGAAAAAGAAGCAGGGATGCCATACATGCATGTTCCCCATCTTGTTTCAAAGCATGAGTATTGAATAGCACGGATCAAGTCTCCGCAAACTCCTGTCTGATGCACAACAAGCCTCACTGACTGACTCTGGAAGGAAACAAAGGTGGCAGGGATTTGGCATTAGACTACAGGAGGTATTAGTGGACGTAACAAGCAGTAGCTGAAGTCCTGTAAAGCAGGCTCTGTGTGTACACACCAGGACTCCAAGAGGCAGGAACCCTTCTCAGCCCCATATAGCTAGGATCACTTTCCCCACTGATCAAGAAAGCCCAGCTAGATGTAGGATCCAGTTTTCTGTGTGGCTCCTGCTTTTTACCCAAGTTTCCAGCTGACCAAAGAAATACAGGCTCAACTTTAAATGCTGCTGAGCACTGCCAGCTCTGTATGCTCTATGTCCTCAGAGGGAGCAACGCGCACTCAGAACCTTCAAAACCGGTTCCTGT